CGTGGAGTCTTCCTGCATATGACAGTTTTTTATGGTTCAGCTAAGTCTGAAACTGGCTAATGACCTTCTTGAAGAGAGGAGTGTAGTCAAGGTAGGTTAGTCTCTTGCATATCAAAGGTACACCAAGATACCTTATTGGCATATTCCCTTCAGGATACCCCAGACTTCTTTGAATAGCATTTTTGACAGATTCTTCCACACCCCAATAAAAAATAGCACTTTTTGAAAGATTTGCTTCAAGTCCTGATGTGATTCCAAAGTTAATAACACACTGATGCATTTTTTGAATTGAGTAAAAATCTCCTCTACTAAACAGACCGCAAATATGAGGTGTGTGATTTTGAGTTTGGCACACTTTGGATGGAATTTGAATTTTTTATCAATCTGAAACATGCTCAGGCTCCTGGACAAATACTCCATACCAATGATAAACAAATAGGGTGAGAGAGGATCACCTTGCCTTAATCATCTATCACCCTTAAAATATCCATGAAGAGAACCGTTGAGGGATATGGAAAAGGTAGGGGAAGAAATGAAAGTCATGATCCATTTGGTAAAAATATTATTGAACCCCAAACCTTTCAGCATATTTTCCAGGAATTCCCAGCTTATTATGTCAAAAGCTTTTCTTATATCTATATTGAGCACTGCTCTTGAAGATAAATTTTTCCTGCCATAATTCTTCATAGTTCATGTGCTAAAAGAATATTATTTGAGATTTGCCTACCCTTGACAAAGGCACTTTGAGCTTCACTTATGATGGATCCTATGACAGAAAGCAGCCTATTTACTAGTATTTTTGAAATAAATTTGTATATACAATTACAACATGAAATTGGTCTAAATTCAGAGGGGTATTAGGGGCATTATACCTTAGGGATGAGAGTGATTGAGGTAGAGTTAACTGCACCCAAAAGCTTCCCAGTTTTGAAAAACTCCTCAATAGACAAGGTGACTTCCTCTTCAACAACAGACCATGCAGATTTGTAGAAAGCAACATTATAGCCATCAGGCCCTGGAACCTTATTGTCAGACATAGAAAATACTACCATTCTTATTTCTTCCTTAGTAACTGGACAGGATAAGTTCCTAGCTTGAATCTCAGTGAGACATGGGCCATTTTGAATGATGCCCATTTTAGGCATACATGTGGAAATAGCTGTGCCCATCAACTTCTTGTAATAAGAGATAAATTCATTTGCTATCTCTTTTCCATCTGGATAGAACACATTTTTATAGAACATGGTTTCTTGTTTTCAAAAGTTCATCTAAATATTGGATTTTGCCAAGAATGGTTCACACGTGTAAAAAGAGTGAAACGAACAAGAAAAAAAGGTAGAAAACTCATTTCTAGAAAACATTAAGGAAATAACTAAGAAGTATTTTCTACAATGGGGAAAGGGTTGCCTTTCTCAAGATAAAACAAAACAAACAAACCCATACAAGTAGAGCACTGAGATCTGAAAGTGGAATGAAGTAATGGAAAGTCTAAGGAAAGTCCAGTTCATCTAAATATTGGATTTGTCAGGAGTGGTTCACACGTGTAAAAAGAGTGAAACAAACAAGAAAACAAGGTAGAAAACTCATTTCTAGAAAACATCAAGGAAATAACTAAGAAGTATTTTCTACAATGGGGAAAGGGTTTCCTTTCTCAAGACAAAACAAAACAAACAAACCCATACAAGTAGAGCACTAAGATCTGAAAGTGGAATGAAGTAATGGAAAGTCTAAGGGAAGTCCAGTTCCCGTTCTCTATGTTGGGGAGTGAAATTGGGCCCAATATACAGTCGATGGCTTTATCCGATGTGAGACTATATTCACATATTATTAAAACCTTAACAATTTGCTCTTACTTTGTGAGTATAGTTCAATCTTCAATTACACTTAAATCTTCTACGAAATTCACTAACTTATGCCTCACTTCACTTGTAAGATTACCAATTTACTAACGTTGCACCACTTTACTCGTGGGCTAACCAGAATATGCATTCAGCACATAGCTATCAAATATCCATAGGATTGACCACTTCACTTGTGGGCTAACCAATTCACTAACTCGTACACCACTTCACTCGTGGGCTAACTAGACCATGCATTCTGCACATGGCTATCAAATATATATAGGACATTCTACCACTTCACTCATGATGGCTAACCAGACATCACCCACTCCTACGGGCATCGTGGGTTCTCCCAACACCTTTAGGCTTCACATTTGACTTTATTTTTCCTCTTTTTTTAATTACTTGGACCATAATCTTAGCTATGATAATATTTGTTGAGGAGTTGAATAGAAGATAGAAATATAATTTTAACTCAAAAGTTATAGCTTCTATGTATTGGCCCAAACTTCTAATTTAACTCATTACTCTTTCTCATTCTATTCGACGTGTGACTATACTCATATATTAATAACACCTCACTCCAATATGTCATTTTTTTTGGTCAATGAAAAATTTTATTCATAACCAAAATGTGAAATATATGTACATCAAAGACATTCCAGTGATAACTGGAAGAAACAACTATCGTGTTTTTTACATTTGCTCAATTCTTTCCTTTATGTGGATAGGAATATCATCATTTAGGACTTTAGAAAGAATTAGAAGCTTCACTGTCTTGAACACAAAATCAGCTCTTTTTGCTTCATGTTGAAAGATTCTTTGGTTCCTTTCTTTCCATATAGCATAGACTGTAACTGACAGTGCCAATCTCTTAAGCTTCAACATGAAACCCTTTCCTTTCAGTTTTTCACTATACCATTGAATAACACGCTCCCAGTTGCAAGTTTTCCACCTGAAATTCATCTATTCCATAGTTCTGTTCCAGATAGTAGCAGAGAATTCACATTCAAAGAAAAGATGCCCAATGGTTTCATGCTTTTGATGAGTGCATAGAACACAGGAGTTAGTGTCGAGTATCCCCAAGTGACACAACCTGGCTTTTGTTAACAGTCTAGATTGGATAGCAAGCCAAAGTATAAAGGAGTGCTTAGGATACATCCATCCATCCCAGACTGTTCTAGACCAAACATCAGGTGCATTTTGCTGTATGATTTCATTATAGATAGAAGAAATCTGAAATTTACCTCCAGAACAGCACCTTGTGATAATATTCAGCACATTTGAGATATTTCCAAACTTGGATATCATTTTATCTCTCACTTTAAGCATTTGCTTCCACATCCATGAATCATTCAATTTTACTTGCACTTGCCAGATGTTTGACTGCCTTAGATAATGCCCATGAATCCATTTGATCCACAATAAATCCTTCTTGAGGTGTATCATCCAAAGGAGCTTCATAGCCGCTGCAAGATTCCAGTCTCTAGCAGAGAAACTCCCCAAACCTCCATGCTCTTTATCTTGACATACTGCAGTCCATGATATCAGATGTATTTTGTGATTCCACAAGAATTCAGAACAGAGATTATCAATTTTTTCCAGGACTTTAATTGGGAGAACATAATTGCTAGTCCAATAGAGTTGAACACCCAGAATAACAGTTTTAATCAGCTGCAGTCTTCCTGCATAAGACAGAGCTTTCTTCTTTTGCCAGTTTTGAAGCTGAGTAGATATCTTATTGATCAATGGATAGCAGTCCATATAAGACAGTCTCTTAGAGATTAGTGGTACTCCTAAGTATCTCACAGGAAGTACTCCTTCAGAGAAATTAAGGAGAGCACAAATTTGAGCTTTTAAATCATCTCCAATCCCACTCATGTAAATAGAACATTTGTTTGGATTTGTTTCTAATCCATACACACAGCTGAAATCTGAAAGGCATTCTTTTAATTTTGCAATAGAGTATAGATCAGCCTTGCAGAAAAGCAACAGATCATCAGCAAAGAAGAGATGGGAAATTTTCCGCCTTGAACACTTTGGATGATATTTGAACAGTCTATCTTCTTTGAGCATGCATAGCCTTCTCGAAAGATACTCCATTCCTAAAACAAATAGGTATGGGGAAAGAGGATCTCCTTGTCTTAAACCTCTAGCTCCCTCAAAATAGCCATGAAGTGTGCCATTTAAAGATAGGGAATATTTTGGAGTACTAATGCACTGCATGATCCAGTTAATCATGTTCTTTGGAAAGGCTAAATCAGTGAGCATATCTTCAATAAATTTCCAATTTATAGTATCAAAAGCTTTCCTTAAGTCAATGTTAAGAATAGCTCTTGGAGTTGTGGACTTCCTGCCATAGTGCTTGATCAATTCATGAGCTAGAAGGATGTTACTAGATATAGCCCTTCCTTTAACAAAGGCACTTTGAGCCTCGTTAACCAGATAACCCATAACCCCCTGAATTCTGGTTGCAATGACTTTTGAAATGATTTTATAAACAACATTCCAATATGTCATTTTTGTTCATTTGAAAAGGTAAATTTGACAAATGCCCCTTGGACTCAGAGGCGTTTACCGCGAAACCTCTCTGAATTTGAAGTAGATGCAAAGGAACTTTGGAGGACTAAGCTAAATGACTTGAGGGATGAAGTTCCAACTTTAAAGAGTTTAGGGACTATAAATAAAACCTTATTTTTTAATGTTTTTTTACTTAAACTTTAGCGGAAGTCTCACGTGATATGACGAAAGATTTGAGAAGTTTCTCCACTCAGTGCATGGGGAACGTCAAACAAATGCCTTTTTGTTCGCTCGCTCCTTCAATGCTGATGACTTTGAGATTTCAAGGGCACAAACAATCATGTGAGATTTAAGTGCGATACCCTCGACCCCTTTCACTCCTCTGGGTCAACACCACGCACGTGCATGTTGCCACGTTCCCCATAAAAAATAGAATTAATTTTAAATAAGCAAAATACTAATCTTACTAATTAACCAGCTAGCTAGCCTACGGTTTGGAAAACAAAACTTCAGGCCCCTACATAAAATCATATACATGAGGAAAGAAAGGAAAAAATGACTACATATTAACAAAACTAAGGGAAAACCTGAAGCAGAATTAGTTTCAACTGTACTAATGGCTAATATATATCCATCTTTATTAATTCAACATTCTCAATGAGGGGGGAAAAAGTTAATCGAAGTTTTATCTTTGACCAAAAAATGCAACATGTTCATTACTAATAGAGCTATAATCCCTAGAGTTTGACAGTGGCGTATACATCGAGGAAGACGACGAAGCGGCCTGAGGCGGTGGCAGCGGCCGAGCAGCAGCTGAAGCTTCTGAAGAATTAGGAGCGATTAAAGAAGATGGAATGTTGATGCTAGCACTATTTTGTCTGAATTTATGCTTCAAAGTCTCAGCTCTCACTGCGGCCAATTCAACCTCTAGAGAGTGAAGTTGTTGTTGTAAGGCCAAGATTGCACCCATGCATCCATATATTGGATCCCTAAGCCTGACATTGGCTTCATATACAAGACTGTTTGCTGCATCAGCCCTTTGAGGCCCAGGAACCTCCTGCAAAGGTTTTATACAAAATTTTGGAGTCAGCTACATGAATCATAGTTCTATTAAGAACTATCTCTTTCATTAAGTTGATCACATTCATATCTTTCATAACTGCTTCTATCAGAATTTGGGTAGATTCAAGTCCTTAATTACCCATTTTTTAAGTATGGGGAATAAATTGAACCTAGTCAAGAGGTTAATGCATCTTAAATAGAGGCTAGGAATCAAGTTAACCAAAAAATTAAATATTAGATATGGTTCCACATTGGAAAGGTTGATTAAGAAAGGGAAAGGGTGATGGACTTAAATCGTTTAAATTGCATCTTTTACTTTGTGTGTAAGTACAAGCAGTTTGATGGAGTTCAAGTTGTATCCGATCATGATAATCAATGTGTATTTCTATTACAATTAGGAAAGTTAAGAGTTGGAGATAAGGGGTTTTTTAAGTTTCTCTATAAAAGATCTTCTATTGTTGTAAATTAAGATAAGACATACCAGAGCCAGAAGAACAAATAAGAGTTAGGATTGAAGGTATAGATTTTCATAGTTAATAAAGAAATCCGGTTCTTCTTGCAATATTGGTGTGATAGTTCGCCATTGCCTTTGGGAGAGTAAAATCTCAACAATAATCTTATCATTTCTAAATCAGTTCTATCTCATTTCATCATCAAGAATGACCTCTAACTTCTTACGAATATACCCACTTCTTATAATTTTGGATACATTACAAACATTTCCTATGATACATCAATAAATAACGGCAGCAGCAACAACAAAGCCTTTATCGTAATTTTTTTATTTTAGACTAAATGAATTATGTTCTCTCATTTAGTTCTATTCCGAGTTACCTTTGATTTTAAGTTAACCAGGACTATATATATAATTCTTAATTGTTTTCAATAATAAGTTTTCTTATGTTTAATTCTAATTTTTCATACTACACTAGTTATAAATTTTATTACAGATCTATATATTGTTAGATGCATTTAGTGATCAATTAACATACCATGAGCATTTTTGATACGTTGCTAGCTCCGAAAACCTTATGAACGGCGGCAAACTTCTGAGGTTCATGAGGTGAAAAGTAAGGAGCAAAGATGCACTCCTGCGCGCAGCGGCGGCGGAGGAGCTTGCAGGCTGCGCAGGGCGTGACCGTATTTAGCGTGCCGACCGGCCCCAGCAGATTTCGCCTCGACATCCGATCACTTGCAACGACATCGGCTTCTCTCTTTATTTTCTTGCTTACTTCCTCAAACCTAAATAAAAGAAGACCAGGGTTAGGGTTTACTTTATTGGAGTAGAATGAAGATTAGAGTTGGGGTTATTAGGGTTTTGTTCTTGCCTTGTTGTGGACATTAAGGCATGAAGAGAGAGGAGAATAAGAAAGGATGAAAGAGTGCTTAAAAGGCAAGGTATTAAAAAGATTGTGGGGCTATAAAGAGTTAATGTATGTGATTGAAATTAAATTAGAGAAGAGGAAGAAAGAAAATAAAAGGAATGTTGATGGTGATCTTTTTTAGGTTGGGGTCCCTCTCTGAGAGGGAAGAGGGAAGCTTGCGGGAGGGAAGGAAATGAACTAGTTGAGGATGTTGACTTTTGTAAGAGATCCAAGAATCCAACAAAGGGGCATACAAGGTGGCGTGAGATCTCTTACAAGAGAAAGTCATCAGAGGTCTCTTCTAGTTTACCTTTTCGATGTGGTCCATTCGTTTTCACGAGCTATGTAATTAAGAAAGGACTAACTATAGATATCAGTATTCTGATGTACGCGATATTAGTGACAGAGAAAGTGAAAGAGTGATATAGTTGAACTGCTAAGAGAATATATATTTTCTTAGTTTTTTTTGGAAATTTCCAAGATTGAGAGGATTAGGGGGTGTTTGGTTCAATTTCTAGAAATTATAGGAAATGTTTTCCATCTAAAATATGATTTCCTTGTATTTCTTAAAAAAATTATAGGAAAAGTTTTTAGAAATCAAAAAGTACCAATTTTCTTGTTTTTTGTACTTTGCTTGTTTGGTTCAAAACAAGAAAATAGCTCATAACTTTATAGAAAATAATAAGATTTGATAGGTTTTTAATTAAATATGGTATGTGTCAGATTTCTGGTGATTTTTTCTCATTTTGAGAGGAAATTGTTTTTTGTAAAATTTGGTAGGTTTTGATATTTTATAGAAAATATTTCTGTAAATTTTTTGTTGAACCAAACACAATTTACAGAAATCTCTGGAAAACTTTTAATTACAAATTTGCCATTATCTGATGTTTTGAGAAAAATTTTCTCAAAAAGTGTGCAACCAAACAGCCCCTTAATTTCGGTAGATTTCTCAAGTGTGTGAGTCATTCACATTGACTTTTTCATGTTTTTTTTGGTAAATGAATGTAAATTTTATTCATAACTAAGTATGGAAAGTTTTGTACATATCAAAGAAACAAATCAATAGACTGATTTTAAAAATCCAGTCTTCAATATGACAGGTTTTCTATAAACTGTAATATATGTTGTGGAAATCTATCATTCAGAACTTTTTTATATACACTGAATTTGATTGCACAAAAGAGTGAGTCAGGGCTTCTTGTTGCTCTTTGTTGTTGAAAAATCCTGAAGTTCCTTTCTTGCCATAGCATGTGCACTGACACAGATAGTGCAATTCTCTTCAATTTCTTTTTATAACTTCTTCCTCTCAAGTTCCGGTTGAACCAGCTCATAATTAGGTCCCATGAGCATGATCTCCAATTGAACTTCATCCATTCCATCACTTTATTCCAAACATTGGCAAAATATTGGCACTCAAAAAAAAATGTGTTGGCATGACTTTGCTTGAATTGAACAAAACACACATTGGCTTGAACTTAGCAACCCCATGTTACACAACCTGTCTTGTGTGAGAAGTCTAGAGAGAGATGCAAGCCATAATATGAAAGAATGCTTGGGGTAGTGCCATCCCCCCCAAATGGTGTCAGACCCTTCAAACAAACCATGTTGCTGGAAAATAATCCTGTAAATAGAAGAGATACTGACTTTGCCATTAATGCAGCAACTGTTTATTGCATTTGTCAAATTAGCCACACTTCCAGTTTTATTCTTCAATATATCTCTTACTTTTAAAAGTTGCCTCCATGTCCAAGAATCACTTCACTACCACAAAATAGGTCTATGGGGACGGTTCGTTGGGGTCGGTTTAAAACCGTCCCCTTAGCTGTCTAAAGAAACAGTTTTGTGACGGTTCTAACCGTCACAATAGAGTCTAAGACAACGCTTTAAAATAAAGCGTTGGATTTGAATTAGTTTTGGGAATAAATTCTCTAATACGCTAAAGGCACGGTTTTTTATGGGCTTTATGGTGGCCCCTAAACAAACACTAATGTTTTTCTCTCGTATATACTGGCCGCTCTTCACCCAATCGATCAACAACAAATCCTCGAAGCTAGGGTTTTCTCGCCGTCGTCTCCTGGACTGAATGAAATCCGCCGCCTCTTATCCCCCGCTCGAACTTCCCGCACATCTCTACGCCGACCTCGATGGTGTCGAGATCCCTCCGGATCAGCAGCTGCTCATTTTCGCGAGAAAGCAGCTCGAGGATGGCCGGACCCTGGCCGATTACAACATACAAAAGGAGTCGACGCTCCACCTCATCCTCTGCCTCTGCGGTGGCGCCGAGAAGAGGACTTAAAAGTTCACTCTCCAATGGTTAAATGAGAGGGCGCTATCTCCGGCTTCTTCTTCATTCAGAAATCAGAATTCGATCGAGGCTTCACCCAGGGTTAGGGTTCGAGAGCTCAGAGCCAAAGGTCAGGTATTTTGCTCAGAGCCAAAGGTCAGGTATTTTATTTTATTACACTTTAATCTATTGTTTGTGAAAACGAACTCCAGGGTTTTGGTTTCTTTCAAAGTATTTCCCTTTGCAAATTTCAAAATTAATAATTGGAATTCTGCGTGAGATAAAAGAGAGAAATTTTCCTCCTTTCACGGGAACTTCTCGTTTAATTTTTGTTGTTTTTGTTTGTAATTCCCAATTTGTGAAAATCTAGGGTTTTGTTTTCGTTCAAAATGTTTTCATGTTTGACGATATTACTCTTTCCGGTGGTTAAATAGTGTACAAGGAGATTATGATCGGCCTTCAGAGGACAACTTCTGGTGTCTTGTTTTGTGCTCTGTTCTTGATATCAGCTTATTGTCAGATCTTTGCCTATGATTTGGAAGTAAATCAGACAGCATTCCTCAAGATAGATGCATCACCACAATCAGGGCGGAAGATTCCTGACCATCTATTTGGTATATTTTTTGAGGTGAATTTCTTTATTTCTTATGCTTGTGGAGATGTGTTCTAAAATAGTTTATAATTGGCCATGAACACTGCAGAAAACCTACTAAATGAATTTAAGCCTCTTTGAGACATTGATGTTTGTGACACCTAATATCTTCAATTATATTGGCGGAAACAAAAACACTACGCTCTCGTTAAGTTATTTCCTCATTTCATTAACTTATCCTTCTGTGGAAGGAGGAAGTGAATATGCTTTGAAGAATTAAGCCTGAGAGGCCTTTTTGCATTACCTAGAGGTATTTGATCTTATGAGGAACAGTGTTATGATTTATGCAGTGAAAGATTGCTGTAATGCAGGCTATTTACTATTTTCTTTTCAGAATTTTTATTGGTTGAAATAGAGAAACAACATATTAATTGCGAAGTGGTAGTTCATTGATCATTCATTTGATTCTGACCTCAGTCTGCATATGAATGAGCTTTTGATGTTGTCCATTTTACACTAGATCGTCAAACATAGCATCTGAAGTGTATCACATGTATCTTTTAAGTTCATCGTTTATAGACGTGTTAGCTCTACCAATATTTATAAGGAAATGGCTTTTCTGTGTCATTGTGTTCTCGAAGGAACAAGTTAAAAATGCCACATTAGGACTTCTATACTTGAAATCCCTTGCATGGTTTGGTTGCACTAAAAATTTAGTAACTATAAATTCCTCAATGACTGTTTGTTTCTTTATTCCGACATCTTCCATGTAGGAGATCAACCATGCAGGAGCTGGTGGGATATGGGCAGAGCTTGTCAGCAACAGAGGTAATAATCAAAATGGAATCACACAATGACAGTAGAAAAGAAAACTAGGAGTTCCATAGTGACTATTATAAATGTTTTAGGTGTCACAGAAAATAATAACATTCAGATATACATAATATGTCATTTCCAGCCCATGCATGTAATATAAGTCGACTTCATAAGCCGTTCTCTGGTTCACCTATAAATGACATATTTTCAAGTTTGACCAAAATGGCTTTGCAGCAGAGTGCTGCAGGGCTGATCCACAAGTATTACAAAGACATATAGACAAGCTTTTACTGTATAATAGCAACTAGCTGCTATAATGTACTGAGGCAATCCCTCCTAAACGATAACAAGTTCTGTATACAAACTTTGTTGTGTTTACTGTATTCAATAACCTTGAACGGATGATAAATCAAGGTTTTTTTTTGTCAAGAACCTTGTCGTACTCAAATTTAGATTGGAGATAAAACATTCAAATTTGTAAATTCAATGATTCATGTTGTCTTAAATATTTCGAAACTAAAGAAATTTCAATTTAGGTCCTCATTAGAAAGCTGATACTGCAATTGTAACTCTTGTTTTCTACTGCAAGCAACCTGGAAAATAAACCTATAAGTTTCAGTTTCAGATATTTTCACGTAATTGGCTGGATTAAGAGATTATAGAAGAGATCAAGGAGTTAGGATTATAGTTCTTGGTGGAAAGGAACTAACATTTAAACTAACAAAGGAATTAGAAATATTGTACCATACATCAGTTTGTTACGCCCAATTTCATATTTAGTGTTTAAGATATCAAATGGTTGGATTCATTTAAATTTGAATATTACTGACCAAAGCAATGAATGATTTGCCAGTGATTCGTGTTGTTTTCTTGTGATGAATTTTCTCTCTCTGTTTGAACTCCTCACAACTTGTATTTTCAGGATTTGAAGCTGGAGGGCCAAACACTCCTTCAAACATTGATCCATGGGGCATCATTGGGAATGAAACTTTCATTAATGTGTTAACTGATCGGTCATCTTGTTTCAACCGTAACAAAGTTGCCCTTCGTATGGAAGTTCTTTGTGACCCGGTGGGATGCCCAGATAGTGGTGTTGGCGTATATAATCCCGGATATTGGGGCATGGTACATCTCATGCGTGATAAGTAGTTATTCTATAAAAAAATTTCTTTGAAAGGAAATTATATTTCTCTTAACCCCACCTACCCCCCCTAACCCACCAGGAAAAAAAAAGAAAAAAAAAAGAGAAACCCAACCAACAAACCAAACAAACAAACAAAAGAAAAAAAAAAGAAAAGGAAAAAAATCCACCTATAAAAAAATTAAAAATTAACAAAAAGAAAAGGTGAAGGCAGGTAAGGAAAACATAGAAAACATGTACTTATATGCATGAGGAAACATAAGGAAGGAACAACTGACTGTTTGAAAAGCCAAAGTTTATTCTTGACAGTCCTTACATGAAAGGTTGTTTTGCGTTAAATCTGTTTCCTTATTTGATTATAATATTACAGAATATTGAACAAGGGAAGACATATAAAGTTGTTCTTCACGTTATGTCATCTGGCTCATTGAACTTATCAGTTTCTCTTACGAGTTCAGATGGAATGCAGACCCTGGCTTCTAATAATATAATGTGAGATCTCATTCATGATTAACTGTTTAATATTCAAGTTTAATTTTTTATATATATTTTTTATTTTATGCATAACGTGCTTCTCCTCGCAGAGCTTCAGCTTCACAAGTGTCAAATTGGACAAAAATAGAGTTTCAGTTGGAATCGAAAGGAACAAATAGTAATTCCAGACTTCAGTTAACGACCAATCACAAAGGAGTTATCTGGTTGGATCAAGTATCAGTGATGCCTACAGACACCTATAAGGTAGATAGTATATACTTGATGCAAATAATTAGATTTCTAGTTCCATGCAAACAATTACCCTCTTTTGTTCACGATTGTTTTACTAGTAGGTGATTATTCCTTTTTTTCCTAGTACTTCTCCTATACACTGAAGAATCCGAGTGCCATTTAAATTTGTATTCAAGATCACAGAAATTTCGTATAGTTTTTTTTCATATCTATATCAATTTGAAAAAGAGAACAAGGATGTGATCATGGTATTTTGGGATTTGTGTTACCTTCAACCATATCAGAGCTGAAATATATCCTACCTTATTGTTAATATTTTTTTGTAGGGGCACGACTTTCGGAAGGAACTCATTTCAATGATAGAAGGAATACAACCCAGATTTATAAGATTTTCAGGTATGTAGTCTCACTATAAATCATAAAGTTTCTTATCGGTTTGTCATTATAAATCATAAATGTTTCTAATCAGTTTGTCCTTCTTACAAGCAAAAGTGGACATGAGATCTTCTATTCTATAGTTGTCCAGTACTCTTTTGACATACCTGCTGCAGTTATCTCTATTCAGTAATCAACCCTCAGAAAGTCAGCTAATGACTATATAAAAAGATAATTGCTAAGTTCTATCAGGAATATTTCATGCTTATTACATTGAGAGAATCACCTTCAGCATATTCTAAAAAAGTGGAATTTTTATCTGGAATGACAGTTTACCTTAATGCATACCATGTTGATAGGATCCTGTGCATTAATCATTCCAGACATCCTTTCATTTCCTTACACATGCTTTAGTGTTCATACAGGTATTGATGGTAAAGCTTAATCTTCCTAGAACGATGAATTTCCGGACCTCATAAATTTTGAATATGCCCATAAATACTTGGGATAAAAGAGAGCACCAATATCTAATGCTAGATACTTGATCACTTAATGAACACTGATTGAATACTTCTTTGATTTATCCTAAACTTGACATAACATCCCGGATGCCCCAAAGGCTTGTAAGAGATGTAACTGAGACATAGAAGTCAACATCTAGTACATGACTGGGTTCAGAATTTGTTATCCTAAACTAAGGATATAGTCTTTCTTCTTATATATATGTAGGATTAACGTATGACCTTCATAGAGGCTGATCCACTATGTGACGGTGTCCTTATTAATAATTAAGCATGCATTTCTTGAGGTCTGGACTGCCAGCAACCCAAAATCTTGATTCACTTGGATATGCAATTAAACACCCAATAAATATAGATCTATGTAGTAAAATCCATGTGTCAGGTTTATATGGTTATTATTCTTATGCTGTGTTCCATCTCTTTCTTGGTTAATATATAGGAGTTTCTTAATTCGTCTGGTAAACTACAGAATGTTGTCTGCTATTGATAAGAACTTACTTTAGTGATCAATGATATAATGTGAATTCCTAAATACAACTGTGTTGGATTCGAAATTTCTACTACTAACAACCAAGTAGATAGAGTATATGTGAGAACAATTATTTGTTTTTTGCCTGCATGACTTGGATTACTAACCTCTCAAGATGTGGTCTTATTTAGAGCTTATTTTCTTAGCACTAAGTTATGTTCTTTCAACTCTTATGCAATATGCTTATCTTTCTATCTTAATGTATGTAGGAAAACATCTGAAGATCCATGCTTATCGCTCTTTGTGGGATTTATTTGTTGTGAAGATTTAAAACTTAATCGTCTCAATAGAGAACTTTTGATTAAGTAGTAGCTCTTTGTTTTAATCATTGAGGAATTGTGATATGTACTTTGGACAAAAGCATTGTTTTAATCATTGAGGAATTGTGATATGTACTTTGGACAAAAGCAAAAACTTGTGATGAATCTCAATCGCATTGCTATAATATTGTTCTTCATTGTAATGAATTGTTCATTATTAGTTTGTGTGTAAAACTTGGACTATTGTTTCTTTGTATGTGATGGACTAATGTGTGATATCTGGATGATTTGCTTTGATTGATAAAAATTAAAAACCGTCCCCTTTGCTATATATAAACGTTCCCATATCTTTAAATCTGAAAACCGTCTCCATTGCTAAAAACCATCCCCATTGCTAACCGTCCCCATTGCTAAAAACCGTCCCCATAGCTAACCGTCACCTTTGGTATAAAAACCGTCCCCCTAGATCACAAATAAAACCGTTCCCATAGGCAATATAACCGTCCTCTTAGGTCAAAGTCGAAACTGTCCCCCTTGGTGTGTTAAGTGTCACAGTAGCTTAAAATTATAACCGTTCTTGTTGCTAAATAACCGTTACCATTTACAAAAATATGAACCGTCCCCATAGGTAAACCGTCCCCATAGGTTATAAATAGGAACAGTTTAAGAACCGTGCTATTTGGATCATGAACTGTCGCGTTAGACCAAGCACTACGGCCACAAAGATATCGGATGAGTAACCGTTCCCGTAGGCCTATGGGGACAGTTTTATTATCTAGCGGGACGGTTATAAACCGTCCCCATAGACCCATTTTTTGGTAGTGCTTGTTTTTTCCTGAACCTGCCATATATCCTTTTGTCTCAAATAGTGACCATGGACCCATCTGATCCAAAGGATGTCTTTTTTGAGATGTATCATCCAAAGCATTTTTGCAACTGTTGAATAATTCCAGTATTTAGCAGAAAACAGACCCAGACCACCTTGTTTGAAGCCTTGACAGACTGAATTCCAGGAGACTAAATGGATTTTATGTCCCCATAAAAAATCAGAGCACATACTGTCAATCATCTCCAGAACTTTAATTGGTAGGATATAATTGCTAGTCCAAAAAATTTGTATACCCAAGATAACTGACTTAATTAACTGCAACCTCCCAACATATAACAGGAAGTTTTTGCTTCGCCAATTTTGGATTTGGTCAGCTATTTTATTAATAAGAGGACTGCAATCAAGCTAAGAGAGCCTTTTTGAAATCAGTGGCATACCCAGGTACCTCATAGGTAAAATACCTTTAGAGAAGTTAAGAAGAGCACAAATCTGATGCTTCAAATTATCATCAACCCCACTCATAAAGACAGAGCATTTGGAGGGATTTGGTTCAAGCCCTGAAACTTGACTGAATTCCTTAAGACACTCCCATAATTTTAGAGCATTTGGAGGGATTTGGTTCAAGCCCTGAAACTTGACTGAATTCCTTAAGACACTCCCATAATTTTGATATAGAGTATAATTCAGCTTTACAGCCCTGAAACTTGACTGAATTCCTTAAGACACTCCCATAATTTTGATATAGAGTATAATTCAGCTTTACAAAACCAAAGGAGGTCATCCGCAAAAATGAGGTGAGTCAAATTCAGATTTGAACATTTTGGATGAAACTTGAAGAGCCTATCCCCCTTGAGAGAGTTTAGCTTCCTAGACAAATATTCCATACCAATAACAAACAAATAAGGTGAAATTGGATCTCCTTGTCTAAGCCCTCTAGCACCTTGAAAATAATCATGAAGAGAACCATTAATAGAAATAGAGAATTTAGGTGTTGTAATGCATTCCATGATCCATGAGATCATATTTTCTGGGAATCCCAGGCCTTTCAGCATTTCAATGGCTTGTATATTGTTTTTTCAAATTGAGCGTATTTTGGCTGATAAGTGTCAGGGCATTTCCTTTTTTTTTCCTAAATTCAACTGCATTTGCAAAAGTTAAAAATGTGACATGCAAACCCAAAGAATGCTTCTCTTTAATATATTTATCAATATTCTGGTGTACACTATCCGTGCATCACACATAACGTGTAGCTAGGAGACATAATAGAAATGTAAAAGATAGTCTGGTTTCTTAGATTTTTCCAGTTAGAGAGTGTTTCCGTTGATTCTTTTCAAAGTCATGTACAATGCATGTATAGTTACTTATGCCTCATAAATTAGTTTATAAAGATTGGGCCAGGTTTAGAGAGATTCATTAATTTGATGCTTTTGATTAAATCTTTTGTACATTTTTGCCCTCAATTTAACTTAAAAAAGTCGACCTGTCAACCAAATTGGGGAGAAAGTAATTTATATATCACATTATGCTATAACTAATAATATTTCAAGAAATAACATCATCTGATATTTAGAAAGTGTAAATAGTAATAAACAGTTTGTGGTACAAGTGACTACATGTATCCATATAGCAAGGAAATGTATCTGCAACTAACCCCTTGAAAAATATGTTTCTCATAGTGCTAGGTCAATGTTATCATTCAAGAAACAAAGCATACGAGGCTAATTAATATATGGGGTTTTTGTCTTTGAACCCAAAATTTCACACTCATTTATTAAAAAACCCATTGACTTAAATAAACATTCATACACCCAAAAGTATTCCAACCACCTATTTTTGAACCCATTCTCCCAAATATTGTCTACCCATGTACTTTATTTAGAGTAAGAAAAAATAATTCTAAGATTACCCTTCTACAAATTATAATCCCTCTACTTCATCATCGGTCCCCATCATAAAAAATCTCTAACCCACTTCATCGATCCTCTGATCGCTTCACCGACCATGACGTCTCTTCTTCCGCCTAGAGCTAGAGGACTGCACTCCGAGGAAGAGGAAGGCTCCAGGATTTCTTAGCTTCTTCATAGAGAAGCCCACCAAATCTCGTTCTCCAGCAATCTGATTCCTCTGTTGCTTCTCTCCATCGCTAGGATTGACAGAATCGATCTTGCTATCTACGCCTCCGCTGCTATCGGCCCATTCCTTTCTTTTATTTTTTTCTCTGGGTTAGCTCCTAATCTCTTTCCTTATCGGTTTCAATTCTAAAGAGAATAGGGGGGAAATTATATCTTGGGTTAAAAAATATGAATTTGATGATGTGAAGTAGGACTCTTGAGAGTAAAAACTAAATTTTCATTAGGTTAGGTATCAAAATGAGTAGATAATTTACTCTTTAGATGTAATAGTCTAAAAAATGCTAGCTTCTTTGATATAGGCTGTACTAATGGATCCATCTTAAATTACGTGATTGGTTAATTGTAAGTCAAAGTGAAAGAATAGATTACTTTTCATTATTAAGCTAGTTGATGAGATAATTAAATTTTTTAAGGATTTGTGTAAGTTTGATATACCAAATAATTAGTCTATCTTGAGTTAGCCTCCTCATATGC